CAGATTTGGTAGTGGGTATCGAGGATTAGGCTTTTTGACTTTTTCGTTAGATTGGAATTCTATTGGACAATCGGGTCCTTTATACACTCCCTGGTGTGTATTCAGTGTTCACACGCACACACATGCGTGTGGGCTTTATGATTTTTGTAATTCTAATATATTTACGTATTCAATTAATCTGTTTTTTGTTGTTCAGGTGGGCACAGATTAATTATTTTGCTGGTGTATTATTAAGTGCGTGGGTCATTACTCCATTATTGTGGTATTATAATGTATTGTAAGGATATCGAAAAAATTTACTTTACCTTTTTTTGGTTTTGCTGAAAGCATTAAAAATAAATATTATATAATTCAATAATTATTTAGGGATGCACGAAGATTTCCATTATTGGCAACATACTCTTTAAATAAAAATGGGGAAAGGTTAATAATATATATAATTATAAAAATTTATCATGATACATACACACATATTCAACAATGATTTAATTATTTAATTCAACATTAAATTATATATTAAATTATTTTTTACATGGAAAAAAAAAATATACAAGATATAATCAAACAGCAATATTAAATCAAGAAGATAATTCTTTAAATGAAGAGGCTTATAACTCTTATGGACCTGTGTTTTTGAGTCTCACATTTGCCTTTGGATATCTCTATTCTTTTATAGGTTTCTCATCAGCTATTAGTCATGTTATGTTATTTTATGGAAATGAGATTTGGAGTAGGTTCAGGGCTAGTAGGCATGAGGGTGATGATATTCATTATAGAATGTTGAAGAGGTATGAAGGTTAGTATTTGATATTGATTGACTGGAAGGATAAGGGATATATATTTATAAAAATAAATGATAAAGATGGCGCGAAAATTGGTTTAATTTTTAAATTTATAAAATTTTTAGATATACCAAATTTATGGTATGCTTCTATATTTGTAACGATGTTGTCAATTGCAATCACGCTTTGTTACGTGTCTGGATCAGATTTGCCGTGGTGGGGACTGTTATTAGCTGTAGCCCTTGCTTGTGTTATAGTACTACCAATAGGTAGCTTTAATAATAATTATTATTATTGTTATTATAAAGTTGTTGATAAGAATAATAATTATTTGTTTTTTAACAAGTAGTAATGTTATTGTTGTTTTGTTATTTTTTTAGGAGTAATTCAGGCAATATCAAATAATCAAGTTGGTCTTAATGTTATATCTGAAATGATTTGCGGGTGGGCAATTTTAAATTATAAAATTACATATACATTTATATTTATATTAATTCATTACGTCATCATTATTAGGTACATATTTCCGGGAAGACCAATTGCCAATGTATATTTCAAGTCATATAGTTATATGGCCATGCATCAATCTTTATCATTTGTTTCAGATTTAAAACTGGGTAAATAGTAATAGCAATAATAATCATCATTATCGTCATAATTACAAAAAGAAAATAAAAGCAATTGTATTATATATATATATATATATATAGGATTATATATGAAAATACCACCAAAAGCATTGTTCGTAGCACAAATTTGGGGGACTTTGGTAGGAGTATTTATAAATTATATTAATTAATTAATTTGAGTAGTATGGTGGTAATCAGTACTATTGTTTAATTACTATTCCGCAAATATTAAATACAACATACCAACATATTAGCTGGACGAACAAGAACTATAAAAAGGAAGTAAAAAATTTTTGTTAGAGAATGGATCCAATTAGTAGTAAAATGTAAGTTTTATTTCCCTATCAATCCATTTCCATGCACAAATCAATCCACCTACATTTTCTTAAAAATCCTGCTAACCCATAACCAATCATCTGAGTGCTCAATAATAGCGAGATTCCCATTAAAAAATTAGCATTTTCACCATAAAATAATTGTTGTATAGCAATAATATCCTTACAAATCGGAAGAAAAAATAGTCATGATGGTGATTTCAAAATTAATTAAATGATTGATTGATTGATTGATTGATTTAAATAAAACTAACTGTTCCATATGCTGTACCACCTCCTGCAGCAGAAGCTACTGCTATACAAACATGTTCCTTTATATTGAATGGACCTATTATTTCAAGTACGTAAATGTAATGTTCTTGGTAGAAAAATAATAATCAACTCTCATAATCATAACGTACATACCAGGATTGAGCGAAAATTTCCATTTAAATATTTGGTATTGTTTTGTTGGTAAAACATCAGCCATCCATTTACCAAAAACATGAGATACCAACAATACGAAGAATACGGAGTAAGTACCACCGTTTGAACGAAAGTAGTAAAACTGGGATATCGCTGCACCAAGAATCGTGAAAAACTATTATTATCATTATAATTTGATTAATTGAGATTTTAACAAATTTACTCTCGAAGAAAGTCGATCGATCAATCAATTACCGTACTAAGAGCCCAAAAACGAAACGTTATTGGTTGTAGTGTTGGATCATCTTTTGTACTAACGGCCTGTATATATATTTCACAACCAAATAAAATAAATGAAAATCAAAAATCTAAAAATCTAAAATCTAAAATCTAAATCAAAATAACAATTACCGCAGCAACCATAGGAATTGGAGAGTTTTCGAGTGGATCGAGATCGCTTATGTCTGAACGATAATTTTTTTCTTCCAAAAGAAGTTCATTATCATCAAAACCAATTACAGTATCATCTTCACCAATACTAAATCTATGATAATTACTATGATTTCTTATAATACCATTTAATATATCCTCTTCTACATATGCAGCTTCTTCAACTCTATCACTAGTTTTCTTTATTAATGATGATATTAATATATTTGGCGGTGATTCGACATCTTCTGTTGTAGTTATCGGTGAAACTTTTGAATATTTTTTCATAATATAATATAATTATATAAAAAAAAAGGCAATGTAAAAAAAAAGAAAAAAGAGAATATTTACAATATTTATCTAACACACTATTACTACTATGTTAAATGTCTATTTATGTATTCTAACTACTCTTAAAATTACTATTGCTACAACAAATATTTTTATTTCTTTCTTGTTATAGTTTAATAACTTTGTCAAATTGTTCATTGCCACAATTTTTTGCGAAGCCTCTCTATAAAAAGAACATCTCTTCTGATCACATGATCTAAAACTTGATAAAAATAATTGGGACTGATTGATCGGTTGATTGATCAATTCATCCATCATTCTTAACGCATTGAAAAAGGATTGATAATATTTTAATAAATTTTTACATGATAAATCAACATAATAATAAAGTCGTGTATTTATGCTCTGATGATCACGAAAATTATTTTGTCCCAAAAATCTTTTTAATTGATGAAACCAATAAACACGCACATACATAGAACAAGAGAGAGAGAGAACATTTCACAAAATACTATTGCGAAATATTCAATATATATATGTGTAGATAAAAATTTGAAGTGCTAGTTTTTGTAAAATATATTTTTTTGAAATATAAAATATAAAAAATCGTGTTAATTAATAATAATTTGTACTACTACTAAAATTCTCATCATCATTATAATTAAATATATTGCAATGATGATCATTATGGATCAAAAATTCATATCAATTTTCAATCTGACAAGTTCACCTTTTTTTTTTATAGAACGAGGAGAAATATATTTCTTGTGGGAGGTATACTAAATTATAAATGGTATTACTATTATTAATTAATAAATAAAAAATAATAATAAATGTGCACAAATAAAGACTTACCTCAGAATCTTTATCAGTTTGAAGGATGCATCTTGTGCACATCAAAGTTCCCCTATCAATATTCAAACATGCTTCTAATCTTTTTGGCAATCCAATAAATTTAGTTGTTGTTTTTTTAGGATGACCTTTATAAATCTTACCAACAACTTTGGCATATTCGTCGTGTTTAGGATGTCCACATGTTGGTAATGTTGAATCTCCTTTACGACGTGAATTATTATTACCATTGTTATTATCATCAGATTCAATGGATGAATATGGTCTTTTCTTCTTGTTGTTATTACTATAATTGCTACTAATTAATTTTTTAGATGATTTTTTATTATTGTTAGTGCTGGTGGTGCTATCAGTAGCATTTTTTTCAGTGCTATTGCTATTGTTGTCTTCTTCATTTATTGCAAGAGCATCAACATTTTTTGTAATCGTGGCTTGAGAAGAAAAAATAGACATTTTATCATCATTGAATAGACTGTCCTGACTATTATTACTAACAACACTAAAAGTTTTAAAATCACTTTCATCCAAAGCAGCAGAAGAAGAAGTCTGACTATCAATCATTGAAAACAGTATTCTGTTATTATTATCATTATTATTATTGTTATTGAAAATTTGACCAGATGATTGGATTGCCCCTTCTAAATATTCTGCCTTATTATTATATTGAGGGCAAGAAGATGACAAATCATCGTTTTTAAGAGAGTTATATATGGTAAAAGGACGAGAAGCTGGTGTATCATTATATTTATGTTTATAATTAGAATTAGAACTCCCAATGAAAATATCATCATCTGCTGATTGTTGTTGATGATGTCGTTGATTTTGTATTTGTTCCGATTTTGCATCATTTCCGTCATCTCTGTTATCATTGTTATCGTTATTGTCATAATTATTTATCGGTGCATCATTTGCAGTTGGCTCATAATGTGTGGGACTGTTTATTGGTGTTAAATCATCATCTTTATTTTTGTTATTATTATCGTTATAAATATTTATTGGTATTACATCATTTGTGGTTGATTCGTACAGTTCATCTATGGGACTGTTTATAGGCGTCGCATCATTATCTTCGTTAATATCAGGCATATTTTTAATTGATGAAATCACTATTTACCATATGGGGTATGCTGCAGATAAAGTGAACAAAGAAATTTCAGGGATCAAAACTGCAGTCAGGGGATATCATCATATATAGATAGAAGTATATACTAAATACGATAATGATCGGCTTAAAGAAAAAAGAATAAGGAGCTTTATTACTTCCAAATTACGGAATTAAGCAACACGAGAATGCCATTTAACATATAGCAATAAAACCAGCCAGACAAATTAACATTATATAATCATTAATAATGTTTCCGTTCATTGATCTCCTTCATTATCCGAAATACGCCAGATGACTTTTGGTAATGGACGGAAGTTTAAATGGTCATAAATATCTCGAATGGTCATAACATTTCATATTAGTATAGAAAATCGCTTTTATTTTTGATCAGAAACATCGAAATTGTACTACCAAATATCACGCTTTGTTACGTGTCTGGATCAGATTTGCCGTGGTGGGGACTGTTATTAGCTGTAGCCCTTGCTTGTGTTAT